GGTAGATTTGATTTATCAAAGATGATAGCAAAGCATCAAAGTACAGAAAATAAGCATAAAAAAACACAGCAGAAATGTCAGAGGGATCAGACCACAGTGTTTAACTATACATCTTTAAATGTTACAGTCACAGTTAAATATGACAACAGAAATTAACAACCAATTTTACAATCGCCAGTTGCTGACCGAGAAGTGATAGTTGTTAGCATGACATCAAGGTGATTTGGTCTATATAGGGGTTACAATTCAATACATTCCAATATATTGAGATTTTTTAAAATCTTATTTGAGGAGCTCTATGATTCTGCCTGTTAAATAGGCCTCTATTTCTAGAGCCTCGTATTCTACCAAACACTTGCGGTACCTTTGGAACCAAAAGTAATCCTTCAGACATGGTACCTAGATCCTATCATTTCCACCGCAAACAGTACTCTTACAGTAAATGTGGACAGGGTTGTTGTCACTCACTGCTCCGTCCAGCTCTCACTGTATTACCTAATTACAAGTGACACAGATTGACACAGTCTGCGTCTTGTCCACAGAATGAGGCTGCACGCTGACATTTTCAGAACAAAATAAAACAGGCTGCAGTGAGAGTCTCTCTCCATGGGATATTTAAAATTAGTGGGTTTGTACATTCAGTCCTTCTGAAGCTCGAGGGTTTAGTGTTGCCATAGCCCACAGGAACGACACTCGGACACGCTTTTTTTTTTTGAGGATAAGGATATATGCTGTTCACATAACCAGGTCGAAATTAATATATATATATAAACACTTGAAAATCCACTCATTACTGAAAGTGCATGTCATATAAAACGGTCAGAGTTGTTAAAGTTAAATTTATGGTGCCAAACGTTCCACCTTAAAAGTTGCTGGCAGTCGGCCCAGTGAAGTTTTTTTGTTTTTTTCCAGACCACAGCTGCTTCCATTTTATAGTTACAGTTTACTAATAAAACTCTCCATAGTATGAACAGTGGTTACATGAGCCTCAAAACCAGCCACAACTCAGCCCTGAGCAGAGTGACCGTCTGCTATTGACCAATCAACAGACTGCAATGTTCACAGCTCCACCTTTTAGTACCAGATCTGTGTGCTAGGTACCCCAACAGAGGGGGGACCAAACATGGGAACGAATGTTTCCATTGGTACCATCCACAACTTTTTGCAGTGGAAACGGAAAAAAAGGGTATCACACTGGAGTGTAAGAGTCAAATGCCTGAAGATAGATTACAACACTTAAGGATCTAGCAGTCAGGGTTCAAACAGAACACAAAATAAACCACTGCCACCAATTTTTGCATGTAAATTATTAATTAAAAGTCAGTGCAGTGTTTCTGATGCAGTATTACAAACCATAAAATCGCGATACTCAAGTGTAAAGATATATTCTCACATCTCTATCATCTGTGATCACATGCTGATTAGCCATTGTATCATGAGCAGTGCCTGAGACTCAGCAACCCAAACAACAGTGACTTTTCACTATCATAGTACTTCATTTTATGCAACATATGTGTGAAGAGACTTCCTTACCTCTGCAGGCGGATTTGGTAACCACAAGAATTTCCATTCCCAACACTTTCTGCCCTCTCTGCTGCTACACGCTCCGCTACCTGAAAAGAAGTACACACACACAAAAACACCTCAGAACACAATCAGCGCTGTGAAAAAAACAGCTATGTAACTTACAAGACAGATGCAGAAAATCACATATACACATCATAAACATCACAACACACACATAAGCAACCACATCTATCATCAGTTGGCACACTGTCACATATTTTCCAACACAATTGCACTCCAAAAACCAGGAGAGTACATACCGAGATGGCACTGATGCGACGAGGCTGCGTGCACACCACACGACACATGGAGCCCATGCCTCTATTGATGTAGTCATCTAGGATGAACTGGGTGACCTGAGTGGTCTTTCCACACCCTGTTTCCCCACTCACCACCAGGACACGGTTCGAGTTGATCAGCTCCACCAGCTCCTGAGAAAGATGGGAGCAGGTGAGAGGAAGGATTATGAGACGAGGAGTACAAACAGAGTGATAATAGAGGATACCGCTAACAAGACTGCAAATTCAAAAATCTGCAATTCAACTTCAGCAGAAATGGTTTGATTAATGATGAGGAGGAGAGTATGTGCTTATGAATTTCAGTCAAATCAAAAACCCACCTCTTTTTTCCCATAAGACGGTAGCTTTTCCCTGAATTTCTGAAGACAAAAAAAAAAAAAAAATATTTGTAAACACTGAATAAATCAATGAAGTGAAGAGCAGACGTTCCATCTTTACAACATGTTATAAAGTGTCAACACTCACTCTGTGGAATATGATGAAACATTTCACATTATTTTGCATTTACAGGGAATATTATGAAGATATTTTTGTATTTGCTAGATATTAATTCACCATATTGTCCAGCCTTACTCTGTATTAGGCTCATGTATTAAACTATTTAGGTCTATAAACATAAACACCTGTTCACCTGTAAATCTCAGAGCAGCCTGCACAGCAACAAATATTTGCAAACCAACTGCCATGTGTTATTAATTATTAAGACACATATTCTCTGCCCTGCAACATCTCCAGATATCATTTTGTTGTACTGTTATCTATACTCTATACTTCATTGCTTTATGAACCCAGTCTCCCTTAAAGAGATCACCCTGCGACTTTTTGAATAGGATGACATGGGTCTTATCTAAAGAAAAAATATAAGTTAGGTTGTACATCAAACCAACAAAATTCTCTGGTGTGAATGATCAGAGAAATGCCCTACAAAGCCTTAAACAATAAAAGGTATGTTAGAAGATTTCTGCTGTATATAGAAAACTTGATACTGATCATTGTACTCACCAGCATTTCTCTGTACTTTGGATCTGATTTCTTGCTCTCCAAATCTCTCTTTAAACGCTCATCCAGTGAACTGTCTCTGACTACTTCCTGAAATAAGAACTCCACGTCCTTGTCCTTCCTTCTCAGTTTCTCTTTCTCTTCCTTTTCCTGCTCTTCTTCTTCATCCCACGTGTCTGGAGGCTCATCCTTAACAGCTGCCTGAGAGAAGTAACTAAACAAAAACACAAAAAAGTGTGTTAATATTATCAATATCGTGAATCACCAGACAATACTGGTTGTTCTGTTATTGTGGCAATGGAGCACAATCAAATATTAAACTATATTTTTGGAGCATCAGATTTGCTTTCAAAGTTACCGTTGTGATTTGTGAGTTGCTTTCTTCTGGCCTGGAGTGACTTCTTCCTCCTCTTCCTCAGATTTGAGCTCAACCTTCAGCTTTTCCTCTTCAGGCAAATCCCCATCAAAGTAACTGTATGCACAAATTAGAGTCGAACTTGTGTCAGCAGCCGCAGCTGAAAGAATAATTGACACTCCAGGCACATTGATCCTATCTAGGTTGCCCATTTTCTTTACTGTAAGCTCAAAATTACGCAGTGCAAGTCGAAAGCAGAAAAGCTATGCAGGCTGTTCTTACCAATGACCACTGCTATTGGCAGCCGCCCGCCAGCTGTCAGACGTGGAGGGTCTCGCATCCCTGCTGTCCCTCCTTGGACCAGGCTCATTTTGGACAGAGTTAAGCAGCTTGGTAATGTGCTGCTCCCTGGCCTCATCCATCTGGACCACTGCCCGCTGCACAAACATGGAGAGAGAAAAGTTCAGCCCTAACCTTAGTTAGCCAAACCAAAGGTGACACCGGGGCTTAAAGAGATGTTATTAGTGTTCTATTCATTCATTCATTATCCGTAACCGCTTATCCTGTTAAGGATCACCAGGCAGGGGGGCTGGAGCCTATCCCAGCTGACATTGGGCGAGAGGCAGGGTACACCCTGGACAGGTTGCCAGACTATCACAGGGCTGACACATAGAGACA